GCGGGGATCGGGGCCAGGCCCTTCACCCCTCCTTCCCTCCCTCCTCCCGAGGCACTGATCAGCTGTTTGCTTTGCCATGATCCATTCCCCAAGCAGGGAACCGATCCTCGCAAAGTGAAATTCCTCCATAGGGAACATCGGAAAGTGATCGCAAAAGCGATCGCAAAATCTTCATCGCAAAGCGATTTCATCGTTATACGAAGCAATCACTATGCGAGGCACCACTGTAGTTTCATTTATAGAAGATGTGGGCAATATACAGACCACAAGCCATATGTACTACCCATTGGGTTCCCAGTACAGTGGTACCTCGCAAGACGATTACCATGCAAAACAGTTTTTTCGCTAGACGCTACTTTTTGTGATTGCTATAGCGATTCGGTTTTTCCTATGGGGAATTTCCCTGGACGATGATTTGGTCTGTGCTTCGCAGACCGTTTTTTCGCAAGACGACGATTTTTACAGCTGATCAGCGGCTTCGCAAAATGGCTTCCCTATGGGCGATCTTCGCAAAACAGGTGTTTTCGGGACCGATGCTTCGCAAGACAGCGATTTAAACAGCTGATCGGCGCTTCACAAAATGGGCAATTTTCACTGGACGATGACTATTTCCCCCCATTGGAACGCATTAAATGGGTTTTAATGCATTCCAATGGGGAAACGCTTTTCGCTAGATGATATTTTCACAAGACAGCGATTTCAATGGAACGGATTAACATTGTCTAGCAAGGCACCACTGTAGTGCTGCTTCCACAACCACTATATTTCCACTGAGAACAGGGAATGTGCTCCTTCTTTCCCAGTGGAAACAGTTCTAGCAGGCTATGAGCGGCATGAATTTGCTGGGAAACAAGGCAGATACTCCCCACATGCCATGCTACCTAATACTATGTGGTAAATCTGACTCTGGCAGCACAGAAATGGTGGCAGGGCATGGAAATGGCATATCCAATATGCCAGTGGCAAGAGCTGCCTGACACTGGCATAGAAGTTGAACAGCACAGAGGTAAAAATTAAACGCTGTGAAATCCCACAGGCTTACAGACAACGGGCTAGCATGAATCCCTCAGTAACTCCTTCTGAAACTATCCGTAAGAAAAAAATAGAGCCACCAGAAAACAATCTACTGCCAACCACCAAGTGGCCCAAGAAAATACTATATTCAATTGTATGGGAAACACTGATAGTTCCAATCACAAACTTCCCTGTTTCTCTCCCAGAAAAGGTAATCTACACAAGATGCCAACAACATTTTAGTCCTAAAGCCAGGCATAAATCCAGATTTAGATGGATCCAGATAAGCAGTTCCATCTGGGAGCAAATAGAATTACCGGTAAGTCTCTAAAACTTGCTTGAAATTGTTACTTAATGGTGAAAGCACTGACACTTCCAAATAATTATTTTAAAATGTGGAGTGCCAAAACTCTTCTGTTCAAAAAGGGACAACCTACTGCCATTGTGAGGCAGGATGGAACAAATACCTTATTTAAAGGAAAAAAAACCCATAACACCATTTTGACCACCAAATGAACCAAACCACCTTTGGTTGCACTTATAAGCTTGCATAGGTAAGAATCAAGGAAGCATATGGATGACATAACCACTCATGACAAAACTATTCATGTTTTTATAACTGAATTAGGGTGTAAAGAATCTCTTATAAAGTTAACTGTGGCTTGTTTTCCCAATCATGCAAAGGAAAAATCAAATAACGTTTCCAGCTGTGAAGAAACTCAGAAATTGGGAAACATGGAATCCATTTTGGAAAATCAGAATTCTCTGTGAAAGCCTGATAAAAGCTACCTGAGAATTTTAACAGTAAGTGCCCCCCCGGTTACAAGGAGGGGGCAACACCTGCAGCTTTGAAAGAAGCCTTCTTAGCCAAGCCAGATGTTTCCCTAGTACCACACTAATCAGGAAATTATTTAATCAGTATGAAGGAAGGGGGACAGAAAATGTCTGATCGGTGGACCATTTGGAAGGGTCTATAACAGGACATTTGAACTCTCATTTTGCTGAACATTTGAGAGAACTCAAAGTCTGATCGGTGGACCGTTTGGAAGGGTCTATAACAGGACATTTGAAAGAAGTTCAAAAGTTACTTTAAGTGGCTCGGTTTACCTCTCTGGTGATGCTATGCTCAGTTGCTGTCCTGCTATGCCTTGCTGTAAAGAATGCACTCTGTGAATGCTTCAGAACTATATTGGCTCTACACAATGTGTGATAGATTACTTTAGCTTTTTTTATTTTCTTGTGTTTTACTGATTGCTTTAGCTTTGTCTCAATTATCTTTTTTGATCCAATTCCTTTCTGAAACATCTTGTCTTTCTGCTGTCTTAAACAAAATATAAAAGCTTCCTCAACCATCTGGTTTTTTTGGCTCAAGGGCTTATGACACTAATTCAAGGTCTTGAACTGATCAGCTACTTGGAGTTTTGGTACCTCTGTGAGTGTAGTGGTAGCTCTGCCGTGCAAGGAGGACATATTGAACCTAAGTGCCTTGTGGATTTTTTGACTCCCTGGAGGCACTGTCTATTCTGAGAAGTCTGGGGTGCTGGGATGCACATTATCAGGCTGGTTCCACAGTCCTAACCCACAACAGACTCTCCTGGGTTCACCCACCTTAGGGCAAGCAAGCAGTGTAGTGTGACTAAGAATGTATTGGTTCTGGATAACTGTTACAGCATGTGTAGGTCTTTCATTCACATACAAGCTTATAAAGACTAAAATAGTCAATGAAATTATCCTGGCATAATAAAAACTCACAAGAAGATTCTCATTTTATAAAAAACAGCCATGCTAACAGATTATTATTACTATACAAATAAAAACAAGTCTTAGTGCTGGTAGATCATCTTGCTTTTCACAACTGTATCTGAATCTGAATGCCAAAACAAATATGAAGTCTTGTAGTTTACCTTTTTGGAGTACAAATATAAGTTTGGAGTTCTGCCTGGAACAGGAATGCCAGCTTTAGTCAGTTTTATGAAATACTTCTGCACCCTGCTGGCAACCTGAAAGAAAAGGAAAAATAAGTTATATTTATCTCACACAAACAATCTCTAAACATTAAAATGTGTGTCTAAAAACTTAACATTTCCATCAAAAAGGTATAAATATGCAAGGATAACATGTCATGGTGCTACGCTAAACTATTAATAGAGATTTAGCAGATGATATTTACATTGGAAATTAATTAATCACTCATACATCCCTGAGCTGTCACGCTGTTCCTTATGCTTAAAGCAATGTTCTCCTCTCTGTACACAAGGACACTTCACTCTCCTCTTCTAATCCTTCCTTTAAGACTAATTTCATTAAAAGAGCTTTCCCTTTTTGTCCACTTGGCAAACTCCAACTACTACTCCAGCCCGCTAACTTTGGCTGAAATCTGTGTTAAGAGCAATGTCATTTTTGTGCCCAATAAAACCTAGTAAATATTGCTGGTGCTTTAAACAAATCAACAGTATAAGTAAAAAATCCATACTTGTATGTTCTATGAAAATTGAAAGTAATAAAAAGTTGCACAGGTATTATATTTTTCTTTCTGATTTAAAGGAAATCAAGTAGAAATCAGGAACAACAAAAAAGCTCCACTGCCTCCAAACCAATATATCTAGCTGCTACACCAACCCTTTTCAAAAGCCATATCTGAGATAACCTTGTGATAAATACAACAGAACTGAGCAAGAAGGCCCCAGTGAAGATACAGGTGGAGTACGGATGAGACAGTGACCATCAGTTCACTAGCTAGAATATTCCTGACCTATCTGGTCTATCTGAGATAACCTTGTGATAAATACAACAGAATTGAGCAAGAAGGCCCCAGTGAAGATACAGGTGGAGTACGGATGAGACAGTGACCATCAGTTCACTAGCTAGAATATTCCATATGTTATTTTGCTTAGCAGTCAGATCTATTGATTGGATTATACCAAAAAAAGAGAGGAAAACACACATTTCCATTACCTGCTTTGCAGTTCTGTTTCCCAGTTCATCAGCAATTTTCTGCCATCGCCGAGATTCTACTTCTTCTGGTGGATACTTCAACAATAATTGTTCAAGCTTTTTCTGAAATAATTACAAAGAAAATCAGAAACAAATATCCATCTTTCACATAAGTTTTTTAAATGTACAATGCAAAACTCAGATGAATAAACACTGTATAGTAATAATGGGCAAAATCCTCTTGTGTAAAATTATGCTGGTATAAACCAGATCCAGTGACAGAAATAATTTAAACTCATAAGTTTAAACTAATTTAAACCCTAACTCCTTTCAGGTTTTCCTTAGGGCTCCCTTTCATCCTGGGGAGTCATGGCTGAATTGCCATTGATGGGACTGGGACTATCATCAGTGACCAGTGGCTATTTTTCACCATTAAAGACTTCTCCGGGGTCAAAAGGGAGCCTAAGCAACCTGAAAACCTGAAAAGGGGGTTGGACAGGAAGCTTTCAATTAGTTTAAATTAATTACGTCTTGCACCGGATTCAGTTTATGCTGGCGTAACTTTATGCAACAGGATTTTGCCCTATATATACATGCTATATATAGACACACAGAGATACCCGGGGGGGGGCACAGACAAATACATATTCTCTCTTTCTTGTGTTTGGCTAATTTTCCCTTACCTGTTCTTCTACAGTCCACAGCTGGTTAAAAGTTTCAGGTTTGGTCTCATCACAAAGCCGTCCTCTTATCATCTGTTTAAATACAGCATAAAACAATATGCAAGTTTTGGTGAGTTGCTGTAACTGGATTTCACTCAAATAAAAATGATTAAATTGTTTCACAATTTATCCTTCAATGAATCATGAGGCAAATCAGCTACTATTTTATCACATTAAAATTATCTATAGTAAGAATTGGGATGGTGTAGGCACCCTTCAGTCTCAAGAGACTATGGTAACATGCTCTGAATAGAGGACTTGGAACAGCATCTAGTGTGGCTGAGAAGGCCAATTTGAGAGTGACAATCCCTTCCACACTGAAGAGAGATACAATCTGTCTCCTGTCCAGCTCCCCGGTTTTGCTGCTTTTGAGACTGCCTCTTTGCCTCAGCCTGCTGAACACGTGTCTCTTCAAATTGGGAGAGGCTGTGCTGCACCACCTGCCTCCAGGCTGAACGCTTAGATGTCAAAGTTTCCCATCTGTTAAGGTCTTCAGATCCCGCTTGCAGATCTCCTTGTATCACAGCTGTGGTCTCCCTCTGGGGCGCTTTCCTTACATTAATTCTCCATACAGGAGATCTTCTGGAATCTGATCATCAGCCATTTTCACAATATGCCCAAGCCAATGTAGATGTTGCTGTTTCAGTAATGTATACATGCTAAAAATTCCAGCTCATTCTAGAACAACACTATTTGGAACTTTGTCCTGCTAGGTGATACGTCGGA